GGCCAGGACTGCCATTTCTTTTTTTTTTTTTTCTTTTTGGTGAGGCAATTGGGGTTAAGCGACTTGCTCATAGTCACACAGCTAGTAAGTGTCAAGTGTGTGAGGCTGGATTTGAATTCAGGTCCTCCTGACTCCAAGGCCATAATTATCCACTGTGCCACCTAACTGCTCCTCCACTGCACCACCTAGCTGCTCCTAAGGATTGCCATTACTTGAGGGACATCAGCCAATCACTGCACTCCCAGCTCAACATTTCCCCATTAGCTGCCTTGCCCCAATATTCTCCTTCCTCTCTGCCCCTTGATGGTCTGTATTCTTTTATTAGAATGTAAGCTCCTTGAGAGTAGGGACCATCTTGTTTTCTTGTACTTGGATCCCAGCCCCTAACACAGGGCCTAGCACAAAGTCAGCCCTGAAGAAATGTACTCACACTCACTCTCTCCCTCTCCCTCCCCCCTTTCTCTTTCATTTTGATAGCCTCAGTATCTAACACAGTGCCTTATACTTAGTGGGTATTTGTTTGATAAGTATTAATACTAGGTGGCACCATAGTGCATAGAGTGCTGGGCCTGGAGTCAGGAAAACATCTTCCTGAGTTCAAATCTAGCCTCAGACACTTACTCTAGCTAGGTGACTCTGGGCAAGTCACTTCACCCTGTTTGCCTTAGTTTTCTCATCTGTAAAATGAGCTGAAGAAGGAAATGGCAAACCACTCCAGTATCTTTGCCAAGAAAACTCCAAATGGAGTCATGAAGAGTCAGACATAACTGAAAAACAACTGAACAACAAATACTAATTGAATTGAATACACACCTGTAATAACATCCCCACAAATTCAAACTTCCTGAACATAGTTCTGAACCCAGACAGAATTAAGGAAAATAGCTGTCAAAAAACCTCAACACTAAAGCCAGAGTTGTAGATTTTCAATGATTTCTTCTATCACATGTAACTCTTACTAAGCTTATTATACTGGTAAGCTCCATAAGAGCCAAGAATGCATCTTATTTTATCTTCCTATCTCACAACATTCAGTACAGTGTCTCACACAAAGAAGATACTTGTTTATTGATAAAGCAGTAGTATGATAAGGTGGCAAGAGCTCTGTTACTGAGACATAAGACCTAAAGGTGAGTTCTAATTCTGACATTTAACTAACTGAACAAATCATTTAACCACCTTGTGCCTTATTTTCCTCAACTGAAAAATGGGGATAATGAAACTTGCATTACCTACCTCACAGTGCCGTTGCATGGATAGTGTTTTGTAAGTTGAAAATACTATAGAAATGTGAATTATTATTAGTTGAACTGAATTATCTGCTCACAGCAGATTAAAGGCAGCTGAGCAGAAAGGGGAGGGGAGGGGGCGCCTGCCAGAAATGTGGACAATCACAGTTATTGAACAGAAACAGCTGAAAGGCTTTCTAGTGTTACATATGTGATTCACAATAATTATAATGAATCATCAATAAAAAGTGAAATTATACTCACTGTCAGGAAAGCAGAAAGATGGGAAACAATTTTTACAGCAAGTGTTTCTGATAAAGGCTTCATTTCTCAAATATATAGAGAACTGAGTCAAATTTATAAGAACACAAGTCATGCCCCAATTGATAAATGGTCAAAGGACATAAACAGCAGTTTTCAGATGGAGAAATTAAAGTTATCCATAGTTATATGAAAAGGTGCTCTAAATCACCACTGAAAAGAGAAATGCAAATTAAAACAACTCTGAAGTACTACCTCATACCTATCACATTGCTTAATATGACAGAAAAGGAACACAATGAATATTGGAGAAGATGTGGGAAAACTGGGACACTAATGCATTTTGGTGGACTTGTGAACTGATCCAACCATTCTGGAGAGCAATTTGGAACTATGCTCAAAGGGCTATAAAATTGTATATACCTTTTGACCCAGCAATACCACGACTAGGTGCGTACCCTAAAGACATCATAAAAAAGGGGAAAGGACCTACATGTACAAAAATATTTATAGCAGCTCTTTTTGTGGTGGCAAAGAAGTAAAAATCAGAGGATGGATGAACAAGCTGTGGTATATAAATGCAATGGAATACTATTGTGCTATAAGAAATGATGATCAGTGGAAAGACTTACATGAATTAATGCTGAGTGAAGTGAGCAGAACCAGAAGAGAACACTGGACACGGTCACACTAACACTGTGCAATGATCAATGTAGCTCTTCTCAGCAATACAATGATCCAAGACAACAACAAAAGACTCCTGACAGAAAACGCTATCCATCCAGAGAAAGAACTATGGAGTCTGAATGCAGATCGAAGCATATTATTTTCACTTTTTTTTGTGCGGCTTTTCCCTGTTGTTGTTTTTTTCTTTCACAACATGACTAATGTGGAAAGGCGTTTAACATGACTGCACGTGTATAACCTATATCAGATTGCTTGCCATCTTAGGGAGTGGGGAGGGAAGGTAAGGAGGGAGAAAAATCTGGAACTCTAAATCTTATAAAAATGAATATTGAAAACTATCTTTACATATAATTGGAAAAAATAAAGTACTATTTACAAAAAAAAGAATAAAATAAAATAATAAACAATAACAAAAAGAAATCACACTCATTGTTTCCCCTTTAAGAAGGAAAACATATTAACATATTTCAGAAAGATTTCCATCCCAAATGGTTAAAAGCAGGAGTAGAGCCATGAGAGAGGTGAGCATGGCTAGCTAGCCATGGCATATCCTTAAACGGAGGTTCTAAGCAGAAACTCACTAAATGGATAGGTGGGGGTGTGGCACAGAGACAGAGGCATTTCCATGGTGAGAAGACTGCTGGGGCAGGGGAGGGAAAGTCTAGAGAGTCCCGAGCAGAGCTGGGAGAGAAGTGAGCATGGATGGATGGCTTGGGCACAGAAAGCCAGGAGATAAGCGAAGTGAAAAGATCAGACAAACTTCTGTTGACTAACAGCAGCCAATTATCATCTATATTCTTGACGAGGTTTGGCTATCATCTTGCCTGGAAAAAAAGAACTGATGGAGAGCACAATTCTGACTCTTAAGATCCTATTACTTCATTTTATCAAAGCTATAAATGGACAACAAAAATAATTAAAACAGATTTGTGAGATGCACTGACTTTCTCTAAGAGTATTACTTTTTGTTTTACAATATTAAGAAAAACCTTTCATCTCATCATCCCATTAACAGATTCATTCACAGAATGTCAGAACTATAGGGAAGCTCATAGGCCATGGAGTCCAATTTGTACCTGAACAAGACAAGACTTCCCTCTCCAACATACTAAACCAATAGATGGGTATCAAGTCTTTGCTCAAAGACCACTAAGGAAGAGGGACCTACAAGGTCCCAAGAAAGCCCATTACATTTTTGAACACCTCAAATCGTTAGAAAGTTTTTCCTTACACCAGACCTACAAGTGTGTACCTCTGTAACTCACACCAGTTCCTCCTAGTTCTGCCCTCTGGAGACAAGCAAAACATGTGGGGCCACCCTCGTTAGGTATGGAATCAGGGGAGGCCTGAGGTGTCTTGTGCTGCTTTCAATACTTGCTAATCAGGTGGCCATGGAACAGGCCCTCATTGCATCTTATTGACTCTCTGAGTCTTAATAATTATACCTATAGCATTTATTCCACAAGGCCTTGGAAACCTTGAAGTGCTACATCCATGCTAGCTTTTATTACTCTGTAACACAGTCCATCAGATATTTCAAGATACCGACTATGTCCCCTCCAAAGCTTTCCTTCTCTTCAGGTCCTTCACTATTCTAGTCACCCTCCGACTTCCCAAAAGTGGAGGCCAGAATGGAACACCGTACTTGCAAGGTGTCTGACAGAGCACAACACAGAAGGACACAAGGTCTCTTAGAATACAACCTAAGATCCCCTTAGTAGATCTGGTAGCCACATCACATTGCTCACTCTTAGTGAGCCTGAAACCCATTTTAATACCCAGTCTATTCCAGACAAAATGGCTGCCTGCCTCTCCCGGCTCATACCCAAGCTTGGAAAACCAGCTTCTCAAGAATAAATCTCTCCATTTATCCTCATTAAATTTTATATTCTTGGAAATTGAGAGGATGCCCATCAACTGGGGAATGGCTGAGCAAGTTGTGGTATATGAATGTAGTGGAATACTATTGTGCTATAAGAAATGATGAGCAGGTGGACTTCAGAAAAACCTGGAAAGACTTGTATGGTCTGATGCTGAGTGAAGTGAGCAGAACCAGGAGAATGTTGTACACAATAACAGCCACGTTGTGCGATGACTAATACTGATAAACTTAACCCTTCCCAACAATACAAGGATCTAAGACATCTCCAAAGGCCTCGTGATGGAAAAGCTATCCACATCCAAAGAAAGAACTATGGAATTTGAATGCAGATCAAAGCATACTGTTTGCTGTTTATTTTCCTCTTCTGATGAGTTTTGTTTCCTCTTTTTGGTGGTTCCTCCTGTTGGTTCTAATTTTTACTTCACTAATCTGACAACATGTTTAATAAGAATGTATGCCTGGTGTGGAATAAAGTCTCTGAACAATTTCAACTAGCTGATGATTCTAACAGGAAAAAAGGTTCCCTTTTCTGGCTTTTTCTGTGTGAGATGTCACAGAGAATTCCAAAGACTCTGGGCTGGGAGGGACTTCTACCTCAAGATAAATCCCTTCTACAGAACCCCAACAAGCAGCCATCCAGCCTTCTCTTGAAAACTGCCAGAGAAGGTGAACCTTCAGTACCAAAGAAGAATTAGCATGCTACATTTTGAAGGCACCATGAATTTAGAATGCAGAAGGCAACCCAACCCGATACTGCTGAAATAAAATCAAAACAACTTCACTGCAAATCCAAACAGCCCCAGTTCGAAGCTGCTCCTGGGCTTCTCTGAGATCGGAATCAGAGAAGCGGAGGGATAAGAGGTTTAGTTCACTTCCCCTGTATTCCTGTAATGCGGAACAGACCAGGAATAACCGATCACAGAAAAAGGCATCATACTTACCACTGGGTGGCTTGGGTCGGGGAGGAACATTTTTCTTCGGTGGCAGAGCGGGAGTGTCCTGTTTACTTTTAAAAGGGTCCTCTGAGAATCCCACCCCTCCAAAAGAGGAGGTGAAAGGGTCAGAAGGAGTGGGCTGCAGAAATGGAGATGAAAGGGAGATAGAGAAAAGCAATTCAAATAAAGATTATGGAGATCAATCGAACACACAATCAGTTTTTACTGATGCCCTCTTACGGGAAGCCCAGCCCAACAGCCTGCTGCTTGTTGTTTCCACGTGGCTGCCACTCAAGGTTCCTAAGGGGGAGATAAGTACGATAGCCTGTGGTGAGCACAGTATCTGGTCCATAATCATGTCATGATAAATGTTTGTTGAACATCTGCCATTAAATGATGAAACTGAGGTTGAAGAGGAGAAGAGGCCTGCCCAAGTTCTACTGAAATTGCTTCCTCTGAGGTTCCAGTGACATCTTAATTTCCAACTCCAATGGTCATTTCTTGGCTTTCATTTTCCTGGACCACCCAGTCCCTTAAAACTTGTTCCTGGGGCAGCTAGGTGGCACAACTGGATAGAGCACCAGCCCTGGAGTCAGGAGGACCTGAGTTCAAATCCGGTCTCAGACACATTTCCTAGCTGTGACTCTGGGCAAGTCACTTAACCACAATTGCCTCACTTTAAAAAAAAGAAAAAAACCCTGTTCCCCTAATCATCTATTTCCTTTGGTTTGCATGCACAGTACTGTCCTGGCCTTCCTCTTACCTGGCTAACCATTTCTTCTCAATCAACAGCAGGACTGGGGGAATGGCCCTGTCTCTTTTCTCTCCCCACATAAGCGGGCACCACAGGGATTGTGTAGGTAGTTGGATTCAACACAACAAGTATTTATTAGAAGGAGATACGGTTTCTGTCAATTGTCAAGAAGATCACACTTTGAGAATTCCTGAATGAGTTAGAATCACGGCTATGTTATGTAACAGGTAAGAGTTCAACAAAACTGTTAAGGAAACTTTTATTAATGCAGAGGTCTGACCCCTCAGATCTCTGCTCAAAAACTTTCAGTAGGCTCCTGACAGCCTAGAGCAGGGGTGAGGAACTTGCTGCCTGGAGGCCACATGCGGCCCTCTAGGTCCTTAAATGCAGCCCTTTGACTGAATCTAAACCTCACAGAACAAATCCCCTCAAAAGGATCTGTTCTGTAAAACTTGGACTCAGTCAAAAGACTGCACCCAAGGATCTAGAAGGCCACAGGTTCCCCACTGCTGGCCTAGAGGATAAAATATAAACCCCTTACTCTGTCATTCAAGCCCCCCCCCCCAATTTGACTGATTCTGATCTGCTTTTCCAGCCCCAAATGTTTGCCTGTTGAAATAATGCATGTGTCTGTCCCGACTCCTGTTCTGTTAATATTTCACAGTGTTAAACTAATTAAGTGTATCTTTTTATCAGGTTTCTTGATATTTATATACCAACTCTTTTGCTGTAATGTATTGCTAAGCTTTTCAAATTTAGGACGCAATGGTTGGAAGACATTTCCAGGTTGACATGAGAATATTCTATCCTGTCCTCTTCCAGATTCTATGTCTTTTGCTGTTTGATGTAAATGTTCTTTTTAAAAATAAATGGTAGTTTTTTTCCACCTGTAAAAAGGGAAAAAAAAAAGGCCCTGGCCACATACTGTCAACCAAAGGTCTTTCCAACCTCTAGGATCTCTCGCCATCACAAGTTGCCTGTTTCCTTATTACACTTTTTTCTTCTTTCCAAGTTGCCTTTATTAATTCATTTAATTACTCAAGAGATATCCATAGGTATTTCTGCTAAAAATGCTAAGGACCTATACTGGGAATTAATAGCTAAGAAATAATTCCTGCTCTAATACAGTTTATAATCTACCAAGACAATGTACTACATCTATTTATCTGTTGTTTTATAAGACAGACTGTGTTAACTGACAGAAGTGAGATAGGAGTAAATTGTTCTGAAAGTTCAAAAGAGAGCTCACTTTAATGTGGGGAAGTGGATAAGAAATTATGTAAGACTTCATGGAAGAGGCAGCATGTAAGGAATTGATATCTGAGCGGGCCTCAGTTGAAAAACAGGGTTTGATATCATTTCAACTTGGTATCACCTGAATAAAAATGTTGTGTGATGCTGAATGGAAGTAGGGAGAAATTGGTTGGAATGGGACATACAACATCCATCATCCAGCAGGATATCCTAGGAGTGGCCTCAGATGAATATGATTCCAATTACAATGACAGCAAAGAATCTGAAAACATCCACCAAAAGGAGATGCATGTGCCCTAGGTTATAGGGGGAACACTCCATACACCTACAAGGGCAGTGTACCTAGAAAAGAGGGGACTCTCTTTTCATCTAGCTTTTCACAGTCTCCCCAGCTTGAAGTGCTCTCTTTTCTAGAATTTTCCCAAAGTAATTTGTTTGGCTTGATCCCATTTTCCTGCCATATTTTCATTCACATGACATGTCACAGTCTCCTAATGACACCTGCTCTTGAGGAGCTTTCCTTTTATAGCCCATCTCTGCCATACCAGTACCGAGCACAGTGCCTTGAACACAGGCAAAACTCTTTGTTGAAGTTTAATAGGATGAGCTACTATCACCATTGTTGTTGTCTTAATTATTCTGTATATACCCCACCCCTCCAGTACAATACAGTGTTCTATCCAAAACAGGTGCTCCACAGATGTCACCTGATTCAAACTAAAACCACAATCATTCCCCACAAGGACTTGTGGGGAGGACAGGCTATACTCTGATACTCTGATTCAAACGAGACACACTCTATCTAAACTTGGTGACAGTACAATTGGAAAGAGATCAAATGAGCCATCTGATTGTCTCTACAGTCTGAAAAGATTCAAACTACAGACTTCTGGACCCATCATAAGGTTAAGTGACCTCCTACCTAGGACCAAATGGACCACTGCATAACTATTTCTACTTTAATCTAAGCCTAGAGTAAAGCTTCTAATTTTTAAAAATTCAGCAAAACCACTTTGGCTTCTCTTAGCTGAAATAAAACAGGAGATAGAGAACATTACAAAAAGCAAAATGGATAACTTTGATTACATTAAATTGAAAAGTTTTTGGACAAAGCCAATGCAACCAAGATTAGAAGGAAAGCAGAAAATTGGGAAAGAATTTTTACAACCAGTCTCTCTGATAAGGGCCTCATTTCTCAAATGTATAGAGAACTAAGTCAAATTTATAAGACTACAAGTCATTCCCCAATTAATATATGGTCAAAGGATATGAAGAGGCAGTTTTTAGATGAAGAAATTAAAGTTACTTATAGTCATATGAAAAAAATGCTCTAAATCACTACTGATTAGCAAAATGCAAATCAAAACAACTGTGAGATACCACCTTACACCTATCAGATTGGCCAACACGATAAATGTTGAAGACATGAGAAAACTGGAACACTAATGAATTGTTGGTGGAGTTGTAAAATGATCCAACCATTCTGGAGAGCAATTTGGAACTATACCCAAGAGGCTACAAAAATGTGCACCCTTTGACCCAGCAATAGCACTTCTAGGGCTGTACCCCAAAGAGATAATAAAAATGGGAAAAGGCAGGGGCAGCTAGGTGGGCCAGTGGATAGAACCAGCCCTAAAGTCAGGAGGACCTGAGTTCAAATGCGGCCTCAGACACATAATACTCACTAGCTATGTGACTCTGGGCAAGTTACTTAAGCCCAATTGCATCACCCAAAAAAAAAAAGAAAAAAGGAAAAGGATCCACATGTACAAAAATACTTTTAGCAGCTCTTTCTGTGGTGGCAAAGAATTGGAAATTGAGAGGATGCCCATCAACTGGGGAATGGCTGAACAAGTTGTGGTAATATGAATGTAATGGAATGCTATTGTGCTATAAGAAATGATGAGCAGGAAGACTTCAGAAAAACCTGGAAAAACTTGTATGGACTGATGCTGAATGAAGTGAGCAGAACAAGGAGAATACTGTACACAGTAACAGCCATATTGTGCAATGACTTTGAGAGACTAATCTCTTCTTAGCAATGCAAGGTTCTAAGCCAACTCCAAAAGACTCATGACAAAAAATGCTATCCACATCCAGAAAAAGAACTATGGAGTCTGAATGTAGATTGAAGCATATTATTTGCGCTCTCTCTCTCTTTTTTTCATTTCTTCTTTCTCGTGGTTTCTCCCATTGGTTCTAATTCTTCTTTACAATATGACTAACGTAAAAATAGGTTTAATATGAATATATATGTAAAGTCTATATCAAATTGCATGCCATCTTTGGGTGGGGAGGGAGGTATGGGAAGAAAATTTGGAACTCAAAATCTTATGGAAGTGAAAACTAAAAATAAATTAATTCATTGAACAAAGAAATCCCACGTTGGGGAATAAATATTTAAAAAAATCACATTATCAAAAGATTGAAAGAAAACTGATGGAGGTATCTTTCACAACTATGGCTGAGGAAGAATTCTTTTAATTTTTATAAATACCTATTGTTTTCATATCACTTTAATTTCTGAATATATTCCTTCCTTATACCCTGCCCATTGAGCTATCCTAGGTAACAACAACAACAAAATTTGAGAAGGAAAAAAAATGCAACTCAGCAAAACTAACCAAAAGGGAGAGAATCGTCACCAAACAAGGTTTAGAGGAGGTCCAAAAAGATATAACAATTTTAATTACATGAAATTGAAAAGCTTTTACGATTATAAAATCTATATAGGTAGGATAAGAAGGATAACTCTCAATTAGGAAAAGATTTTTGCATCAAACATCTATCACACAGGTCTCATACCCAAGATAAATACAGAATTAACACAAATATAGAAGACCAAGAGCAACACCTCAATGGACAAGTGGTCAAATGACATGGACTAGTTTTCGAAAGAAAAAATGCAAATTTCAGCTCTATGAAAAATTGCTCTAAATCAGAGTTTAAGAAGTGGTGACGGGGTCACGACTGGAAAAAGTTCAAGAAGCCCTGCTCTAAATCACTAATAAGAGAAATAAGAAGAAACTAAACTAACTCTGAAGTTTCAGGTCACAAGCAGCATATTAGCAAAGATGAAAAAAAAATAGAAATAGTGTATAGGGATATACTAATACACTGTTAAGGGAGTT